AGGGCAGGGCCTGGTCCAAGGGCAGGGACTCCCAGAGAACCAGCTCTCTTCACCTAGGCAATGGGATTTGGACAGTGCCGAGTGTCTTCAAGGGACAACCTACACACAGTGGGAGTGTTCTGCTCAGAAACAAAAGACCATCTGCACAGCTCTTCTTCCATTTCAGAGGCAAATCCCACACCTAGGACCCTGTGCCAGACCCTCTCAAGACTGCCAGCACTTGGGGGGAGGGTTCCCGGCTTGGCTGTCTTGGGTCCAGAGTTTCCCCATAAGTCCTGGGCAAGTGTAAATGATAATGACACTCCTCCAAATCATATGTCTCAACTACAATTCTAAGACTCCCAAGAAACACGATAAGGAAGTAGGAGCAGTGAGAGACACAGCTAACGGATAATCCTGGCTTTGCATGGGGCCGGTGACAAAGAGGAGGCAACACAGATTGCCAGTGATCTGTCTCCTGGCCACTCTGTGACGTACACCTGACATACAGGCCTCACAGTGTGGGCTGCTGCTATCCCCACGGTGAGATCCAGCCCAAGGCTTGAGTGACCTCTCTAAGGTCAAGCCAGTGCTGGAGCCTGGATTCAAAAGCAGGTGGTTTCCAGTGCCTTCCTAGCTTCTGGTTCAGCACTTGAGAAGGAAAGGTGCATGGTCAGAATCTTTGATCTGTAGCTCTGGCTCTGGCCCCCATCATTAGCAATCACTCTCTCTCTCTTCAAGACTCAGTTATCCCATCTGTAAAATGGAATGCTGACATCAGGCTGCTCAGGGGATTGGCAGGCGGGTTAAGTGTGATCTGGACTCAGCTCAGAGCACCCTCCCAGGTGTAAGCCGCAGCTGTGACGCTGACCTCCTTGTTCTGCAAGTAGTCTGAAGTTTATGCAGTCCCACAGGTCACCACTCCAGGTCACAGCAGAGGGGACATAATAGAGGTGCTGAAGTAGAGGGGTGTGGGTTCTTGCTCATTGTTACCCTCCTGTCTTCTGACCCTCATCACTCTCTCCTCCAGGACATCGCCTCACCCAAGTTCTCCATGCCCTCTCCGGTCAGAACTGTCATTGTTGCCGACTTCGACAACGACCAGGAACTGGAAGTCTTCTTCAACAACATTGCCTACCGCAACTCTGCAGCCAATCGTCTCTTCCGGTACCATACCCGGGCCATGGGGGCGACGCCAAGGGTCAGAGAAGGTGTGCCAGAGGGAGGATGGTCCTGGATTAAGAGAGAGAGAGGAGGGGAGGACAGAAACCAGGCAAGATCCAGGGAGAGCTCTGAGTTAGACATCAGCCCTTGCTGTGGCTGGAAAATGAGTAGAGAGGACATGGTCCAGATAGGCCCATACCTCCATCCCCATGAGGTAGAACTCCCACAGCCACAGAAATGCTTCCAAAGTCAAGTCTGTTTGGGTAAACCTGGGCTAAACAAAGAGGGTCTGGCTTGTTTACCAGAGACTTCTGAGCACCTATAACAGAACCACTGAGTATTTCAACTTCCCAAAAAATGGACAGTGTTCAAATAGATTTGACCACAGGACATGTCTTTCAGAAATGTTTCTCAAAAGGGTGGATGCTCTGTAGAGCACTCTTGGGGAACGCTGGAAGAGATGATTAAGTATAGTTGGGCCTTTTCATTGGGACTGCCCCCCAGTAATGACAGGGAGACTTATTATTAACTATAAAAAAAAAAGTTCAGCCATAGCTTAGGCTTGTTACTAACTAGCTCTTACAACTTAAATTAGCCCATTTTTATTAATCTATGTATTGCCACATGGCTCATGGCTTACCTGTCCTCCAGCATATCTTGCTCCCTCTGTGTCTCCTGGCAACCCCACCTTTCTTCTTCCCAGCGTTCTCTCTGCCCTGAAAAACCTGCCTAGCTATTGGCCATTCAGTTTTTTATTAAGCCAATCCAAGTGACACAACTTCACAGTGTACAAAAAGATTATTCCACAACAGTTAAGGAAGAGAATGGAGAGGAAATCTTGGAGTCCTCACGCACCTGAGCATCGCATCTAAGGAGAAAGGGTCAGATTTCTAAGGTGATACATCTCCTGGGGACTGGAGGAATCTCCAAGGGCTTGTGTCGAGTCTTAGGGCCCACTTCAGATGTCCAGGTCAAATCTCAAGGGTTGAGGCCCAGGATTTTGTAGGCCTAGCAAGAGCAGCATGCACATGGCCATTCTTATCACACAGACATTTGGAAAGCAGTTCGGGAACCTCACATGGTCTGGGATGTCACTAAGACATGTTGGGTCTGGAGAGCAGGTGGAGCAAAGGTCTCGGAGCCAGGAAATAGGTCAGGTCACCTGCTTGGCCCTCCAAGTCCCTATTCCCTCTCTCAGGGGGGGGCTCAGCTATTAATAAAAGGCGCAAGCTGTGACTAAGCATGTTTTAAAATATAATTATTAACCAAGCATCAATCCTGACTGGATGTAATCACCCCCTGAAGGCACCAGATTTACTAATTAGGTGCCTTGCAAAAAGCTTATTCACAACTTCTAGATTAATTGCAGAAGATCAATTGCTCGTTAACAGAGATGCTGCCTTCCTTCTCCAGCTAATAAAGTGTCACTTGCCGGGGCCCTGAGCAGCGACTTGTCTAGGGCTCTGGCTCTGTGGCCCAAGAACCCAGGTTCCTTTCTGCCTGTCTACCTTCCTGGCCTGGTCCAACCTCCCACCTTCCTATGCTGCCCAAGAGAGGTTGGCCCTGGGCTGGCAGCGGACAGTTACCACATGGTCACCCCTGGAGCAGTGTTAGCTTCCACTCAGGGGCAACAGAAGCCACTGTCTAGGTACAGCTGGGCCTCAAGTCCCGGAGGCAGATGGCTGGGTCCTGAGCACACAGCTTAGGGGCTGCAGCTGGGACTGCTGCTCAATTGGCAGCTTGGAAGTTTAACCCTCACCTGTCCTGTGCTATACCAGTTTGTTACCATCACTGAAGGGACCCGTTCCTGGAGCCCTGTCTCTCCTGCCACATGCCCAGGCACTGGGGACCCAAAGCCTCATGGTCCTTTAATGACGCTTCAGGCAGTGTATCACCCAAACCAGATCCTCACCCCAGAGTAGGAGCCTGTGAGGACCATGCAAGCAAGGACTCTCCCAGGCCTAGTAGGGCATGGATTGCCTCCTGCTTATGCATCTAAATACACCTGGTCTGTTCTCAAGTCTCCCTGCACCACTGTCTGGTCTTGTGGGGCTTTCTGAGCCCACCACAGCCCTCGCCTAGTCTCTAGTCCAGCGTGGCAACCTGCTGAAATGCCAGTCTGACCGTTCCTGTATTCCCTTTACCACCCTGTGCCTCGGCCCAGCTACCGCAAAACCTGTAGCGCACAAATGGTCAAAAGGGCAGTGTGAGCCTACAAGCTGAAGAGTCACACCACTCACAGATGTGCATATGCCCATGTGTACTTACACACAACACCCTTCCCAGGCACACTGTGTGCCACCCACATGTGCACATGTACGATGTGCTCAACCTAAAGGCCCTAAGTGAATGGAGGATGCATCATAGGCATCTGTACAACCCTGCAAGTGCCTGAACATCTGCAACGGCCTGCATCCAGTCACCCCAGGCTCCAGCTCTTGGGGCACAGAGTGTGACTTGAGGAGACAGTTTGGTGGGGAGAGGAGTCTAAGTTCCTCCTGCCTCAGGCTCCTCCCAGGCTCCTCACCCAGCCAGGGCAGAGGATCCACAGCTACAGAATTCAACAAGTGAGAGAAGCTAGAGAGGAGAGCTCACATCACCATCGGCTACACACTGCTCACTTTATACAGAGACAGCAAGACATGGGGAGAGCCTCAGAAGTGCTCGGGGACAAGACTGAGTATTCCAACCCAAAGGGACCCTTCCTATTTGCCCCTGGGATTCACTCCAACACCCCCACAGACATGTGCTTGGAGCTTGCTTGGGAGCTAGGCCCTGTGTTCAATCCCATGGGAGAAGATGAATAATACAAGGTCCCAGCCTACAGCAAGCTCACAGACCAGCTTGAGAGATAAGATGCAGCGTGCAGAGTTAACATGGGCAGGAAGTGATAAAGGCCAGGAGAGCAGGAAAGACAGGGTCAGCAGGGATGGCTTCTAGCAGCACAGTCACTGGAGGGCGGGTGGGCTGAGGAGAGAGAGCCTGCGTGAGGTTGAATCCTCAGCAACATCCAGAACTATGGAGCCAACACCCTTTGGAGGAGCATGAAGGTCAGTTGAAGGTAGCTGTGCCTCTGCCCTTCTCCATCCATCACCTGCCCCTCCCCAGGCTGTCTATAATTCATCTATTAGAGAAGGAAAAATCAATGTTTACCAACATAAATTAAAACGCAAGAAGGGAACTGCCATAGTGAAGGCAGAGTCTGTGAGCGGAGAGAAATTCCATGGGCATCCGGAGCACAGTGTAGGGGTCTCAAGGGATAGAAAAAGTGACTGGCCAGTAGGTCCAGGGAGCCCACAAGGGCCCTGTTGGAACAAGTCTGTCTTTTCTACAGCGTTATCCGCAGGGAGCATGGGGACCCTCTCATCGAGGAGCTCAATCCTGGTGATGCTCTGGAGCCTGAGGGCCGAGGTACAGGTAAGGCACCTGGAGGCTTCAGCGGCTCCTCCAAGCTCTGCACAGCCCACACCCTTGGAGGAGCAAGATGTCAGGCAGCCAGTCTTGTCACTGCTGTCCTGCATCCAAGGGTAGGACGAGAACGGAGGAGAGACGTGAACCCAAGGCAGGAGGCAGGGAAGGAGACCACCCCTCCTCCCATCCCCAGGGCTGCTAAGGGAGGAGCAGGATTGGTGGGAAGCAACTGTTTCTCTGGCCATGCCTTGCTGTGTAGAGATAGGGAGGTTGAGGGGTGTGCCCCCTCTGCTGCCTGGCAGGCGTCCCATGTCTGATCCTTTCCCGCACCCGGCAATCAGCTCAGTGTTAGGCAAAGAGCACTTGACTGGGAGTCCTAGGACCCAGGTCTGTAGTTACCTTATTTTCTGGATTTTGTTTTCCACAAAATGAGAGTATCTGCCTTTCTCACCTCTGCGTTGTAAAGAGGACCAGAAAGAGACCATGCCTGTGCAAACACTGGAGAGGTTGGAAAACAAAAACAAAAACAAATAAAGAAGTGTATCATTCAAACCACAAGAAAAGCAAGGTAATAATGTGCACCCGTCCCGTCCGTCCATGAAGATTCAGGGAAAGGAAGAGAAGCCTGTCTGTGAATTCCTGTCTTGAGCTGGATGATGGACAGGAGGGAGATGGGCCTGCAGCCCTGTTCCCGCCCCAACACTGTTCTCTCCTTTTGCCTTTAACACTCATGGCCATTGTCCCACACCAGGGAGCCCCTCCTCCCCCTTGGTCTAGTGGCTGATGGCTAGAGGTGAAATCTGTGTTGTTTGTAGGGGGCGTGGTGACCGACTTCGATGGAGATGGGATGCTGGACCTCATCTTGTCACATGGAGAGTCCATGGCTCAGCCACTATCTGTCTTCCGGGGAAATCAGGTGTGTGCCCATCCCAGGGCCCTTAGCTCCCGGCCTGGTGTGCTCTCGGGGACCCAGGAAGGCACAGGAACCCGGGCTTGCTAGCCAGAGTGATGGGAAGTGAAAAGCCTCGGACCCAGAAGCCCTTAAGTTCCCAGCCGGAAGAACCGTTTCCAGGAGACTCCCTTGCTCAGCTCTCTGCCTTCCACCTCAAACGTGCCCCACAGTCATTTGGCTTGCCCTCCTCCCCGCATCCCTGCCTCCCAGCATCCCTGCCTCCCTGCTCTATGCCAGCCTGGCTGATGCCTGCCACCTTCCTCCCCCGCAGGGCTTCAGCAACAACTGGTTGCGTGTGGTGCCTCGCACCCGGTTTGGGGCCTTCGCCAGGGGCGCCAAGGTTGTACTCTACACCAAGAAGAGTGGGGCGCACCTGCGGATCATTGATGGGGGCTCCGGCTACCTATGTGAGATGGAACCCGTGGCACATTTTGGCCTGGGTGAGTCGGGGCCCATGGGGACAGTAGCAGATTCTGCAACTAAGTCTTGCAGTGTGCCCTGTGATGCACTATGACACCACAAGGGATGCCCGCAAGGTGCCCTGTGATGATGCAACTTCACTGTGGCACCACCAGGGATGCCCACCGTAAAGGCAACCGCTTACATTCTGTAGTGAGTCTGTGCTCAAAAGAAAGGAATGGGGGAGAGAAGGTTGGCCCTTACCTGCAGGAGCCCCCACCCCAGGGCCTCTGTGGACTTAGCTCACCTTGGAGTCAGAGTACTTAATTCTCCATCTGCCCAGGCCAAAGCCTTGTTCACATGCCGATCTCCACTATGACTCCAGAGCAGCTGCCCCTGACCTCTCAGGAGCTAGTTCAGTTTTTAAGATGCTGATGACTTCCACAGATGGAAGGCTTGGAGCCCTGAGTTTTTAATGAGCACAAAGTCACCCCACGGGGTGAAGGCTGGATCTTGGTGGAGGATGGGATTCTAGAAAACCCTGCCCTTTTATATGTCTAAAAGCAGCAATCTGCACACACCATGGAAGCAGATCACCAGCATGCCCCTGGTGCTGCTGAGCTACTGCTGCCCAGCTTTCAGGATGCCCCACAGTTATGCTGCTAGGGGCTGGGCAGCTTCCAGACACGGGAGAAGCTGGCTCTCTCGCTGCGGTGGGCCATAAGCTCCCGTTCTGAAAATGGCTTGGTGGGTCATAGTTTTAGTTTTGTATTTATTATTAGTGTGGGGGGGGGTATTCGTGCATGGGGTGGTCAGGGGACAATGTTTGTGAAGTTGTCTCTTCCACCTTTATGTGGCTTCCAGGGATTGAACGAAGGTCACTGGGCTTGCTTGGCAAGTGTGCCTCTGCCTGCTGAGCCATCTCACTGGCCTGCCTGTTTGGTAGATTATTTAAAAAAAGAAAAACTATGCTGGGTGGTGGTGGTGGCGCACACCTTTAATCCCAGCACTCGGGAGGCAGAGGCAGGTGGATCTCTGTGAGTTCAAGGCCAGCCTGGTCTACAGAG